GCCCCGCAGCTTTTCGTAGACCAGCTCGTTGCCAGCGCCTGTGATGGTCTGGCTATCCTTGTCGCCACCCGCTCGCAACTTCTCGAGGAAGTAATGCGCCTTCAGGTGTTTGTTCGGAGGCGCGTCCATGGCCTCCTCGAGCTCGCGGATCTTCGTCTCGTAGCGCGTCTCGAAGTCCAGCACCTCCTCGCCAACGTTGCGCGCAAGCTTCTCCACGAACTCGTCCACCAGCGTGCCAATCTTCAACGTCTCCTGCTGGTCGCACTTGCTGTGCAGGTAGCGCAGGAGCACCTGCACGCCGTCGGGCACGGCGAGGGCCTCGGGGTCGAGGTTCTCCGTCCTCGCCTAAGCATCCACCGCGAGCCTGGCGAGCAGCCGGCCACCCCGCCGCTGAGGCGAGATCGCAGTGCTCAGCTCGAAAATCTTCACCCGGCGCTCGTATGTAGGGAGCGGCACCGACTTGCCGCCCCACTTGGGGACGTACTTCTCGTCTCCCTGGTCGCGCCTGTCTCCGTCTCTGGCGGCTCCGCCGACGGCTCGCCAGCCGTCCCAGCTCCAGATAACCGACCCTTCGCTGAATGACCGATCCCGACCCAGGTCGGCCCTGACCTCCGCACCCGTGCCAGGCGGGCGCCACGTCTGACTCTGGCCTGAGGGGGCCCCAGCGCCCCTGCTCCTCGGACCAGGAATGCCCCCACTCACGCCAAGGGAGTCCGTGAGTGCCCCAGTCACTCCACGAGTCCCATCCGCCATAGTAGCGCCACGCCTCGTTCACGGGGGCCTCCCGCACCGCGGGAGGCTCCTCCGGCGCGCGCCGCAGTTGCCGCGTGCCGCGGTCGGCCCACGTACCGTCGTCGGCCGATCGGAAACCATCGTCGTCTTCTGGGCCACCGGCCCGGGATCCGCCCCCTTCCTCCGCAAGTCGTGCGATGGCTCCAGCTGCTGCCGCCCAGGCGTCCATGTCCCTTTTTGAAAACATGTCGATTCCCCACTGGGGCCAGGCCTCGCTGAGGCTCCTCCACCGCGACCTACGCGGCGGCACTCCGTGCCGTGGATCGAACCCGCTCGACGGTAGTTCCGCCACGAATGTCGATGTGATGTGTTTTTTCACCACAAGCGTCTCTGCCTTGCTGCAGGCAGGTCAAAAGAGGCTCAGCCCTCCCTCCACCCTAGCGTCGGGAGGGTTTGTAGCAGAAACCGGCGTCGGGAAGGGAGGTAGACGGAAGTGGCAGCAGTGAGCTTCAACACTCCGTGGTACGGTTGCCCTCGGGGGGTGACTTTCCCGTGTCCCTCTCACGACTTTCCTGTGTGCTTCCGGTGCGCGTCTGCTCGCTTGCGGCGCACACAGCGCATCGCTGTTGCCAAGAGACTTGCCAGGAGATTCACTCCAAGCGTGCTCGCTCGGTCTCGGCAGCCATCGCGCTGCCAATGCTGCTCCCAAGACGCAAACCAGAAAGTAGCGTGTCCACTTGCTCGCAGCGCACTTGGCGTCGCCAGCGTTGTTGCTGAGAAGCTTGCCAGGAGGCTCGTTCCGAGCGCCCCCGCTCGCACCCGACAACCATCGTGTTGTCAGTGTCGCGGCCAAGATGTAGGCTAGAAAGTCCCAGCGCCCCCGCTCGCTTGCGGCGCACATCGCGTGACCGGCGCAGCTGCCAGGAAGCTCGCTCCAAGCGCGCTCGCTCGCGAAGAATGGCATGTCGCGTGGCCAGCCCTGCTGCCAGCAAGCTCACTCCAAGAGCGAGCGCGCTCGCTTGTGGCGCACATCGCGTCGCCAGCATTACTGCCCAGAAGCTTGCCAGGAGGCTCACTTCAAGCGTGCCCGCTCGCTTGAAGCGCACCTCGGGTGGCCGGCGCAGGTGCCACACGGCGAACTCCGAGCGTGCCCGCTCGAGGCCCAAGCACATGCGGATTTGTCCCAACCATTATGTGGGATTGAATACTCGTCTAGAACTAGTTTTACATCCGCTCTCCTCCTCCTCCTCCTCATCCTCCTCATCATCATCATCATCATCATCAGCAGCAGCATCAGCAGCATCATCATCATCATCACCACCACCATCACCATCATCAGCATCACCACCACCACCACCACCATCATCATCAGCAGCAGCAGACTCAGCATCAGCATCAGCATCAGCATCAGCATCAGCATCATCATCATCATCATCATCATCATCATCATCATCATCATCATCATCATCATCATCACGCCTTGCCTCCTTGACTCCACCCTCCGCATGCCCTTCCCCTTCTTGCCTCTGCCTCCACATTGGTTCATTTGGCCGCCCTGGGCATGCCCTTCCCCTCCTTGCCTCTGCCGTCCGCATTGGTCAAGATGGGCACGCTCCTCACAGCCTTCGCGGCCCATAAGGAGCTCCACCGAAGGCCCCGGTGGCAGGGTTCGCATGCCGCCCCGCCCAATTCGGCACACCACTCACACGCTCCGTGGCCCCATAGGGAGCTCCACCGACCGGCGTGCAGCCCATGTCGGCGCACTCCTCAGAAGTGTCGTGGCCCATTGGGAGCGCCACAGAAGGCCCTCATGACAGTGACCGCATGCCGCCGCGCCCATTTGGATACGCTTCGTGGCCCCATACCATGTTCACCCCCTCCTTTTCACCTGCCCTGCGCCGCTCACACCTACACATGGTTGGGCCCTTCGCCAGGAAAGCTGCCTTGGTTTAGGTCGGGCGTGTCCCTCTACAGGCGGATTTTGGGCGAAAAATGAAAAATGCCCCGAAAATGCCCAGAAATAATCGAAAATGATCCGAAAATCGTCCCGAATATTTTTTGACTGTTTTTGAATATTCCGCCTGCAGAGGGACAGGCCCGACTTAAGCCTTGGTGCCCATGGCTCCTGGGCTCCGAGCGCGCCTGCCCACCTCTGGGCTCCCAGCCCGCCACCGCGCAGGGGGCGAAGGCCAAAACGAGAGGCCGCACCTGCCTGGCCCACGTGGGGCTCCTGGCCCGCCCAGCCAGCGCATCACCAAAACCAAACCCCGGCGCCTCGTGAACTATTACTGGAAGGAACAACCACACAAACATAAACTGCTGGCGCTCCGCGCGGATTTCTTGGATTCGCGTGGAGCGCGCCAGGGGCGGCGCCGGAGGCGCCGCCGGGGGCCCCAGGCGCGGATCCAAGAAATCCGCGCGGCGCGCCAAAGGTTTATGTTGATGTGGTTGTTTCTTCTTCGAATTACGGCTCCCGCTCTGGGCTCCCAGCGCGCCTGGACGGCACATGAAGCGAAAACCTGCTCCTCCTCCTCCTCCTCCTCCTCCTCCTCCTCCTCCTCCTCCTCCTCCTCCTCCTCCTCCTCCTCCTCCCCAAATGAAAACATGCTGTGCACGATGCGTTGTCTTCAATGTCGTGGCTCCCGTGCCCACGGACCCTGCCCGCTCTGGGCTGCGCCCCGGCGGCTTGCGTTCTTCGCTTGTGGTTGCCATCCGCTCCTGCCCGCTCGGGGATCGCAGCGCGCCTGGCCAGCGCACAGGCGCAAGCGAGCCCCCGACGGCTTCCCTCTTTGAATGGCATGGCTGCTGTGCCTCCCTGCCCACGTCTGGTTCCCAGCCCGCCTGGCCAGCACATGGGCAAAAACTCGGCGGCGAGCGAGGGGGGGGAAAGAGAAGGGGCGGGCCCTCTCAGAAGGCTCTGAAGTTCCCCATCCTTCTGAAAAGCTGCCTGAGCCTTCCGGAAAACACATAAAACTCCTCAAAGGCGCGAGGGCTTCTGAGAAGTCCCGCCAAATTCTGAGAAGGCCGTCTTCCTTCTCACCTCCTCCCTCACTCGCCACCGAAAAACAGGCCTCGGCGTTTCGTCTTGGCTGCTCAAGCTTCATAGCTCCAGTGCCCACCTGCCTCTTGCCCGTGCTTCTCGTCGCGCTCGCCAACGTGTCGCCCCTGACCGTGAGGCGCATGAAGGATCCGACCCCTTCCGTCTCCTCTTCCTCCCTTCCTGCCGCTCCTTGCCATCGCTCGGACGTCCATTCCCCGTGTATTGCTCGACTTCGTGCGTGTGGTTCTTCGCAGACTAGTGCCACATCGCAGGAGCAGTCCGTCTGCCCAGCCGCCCACGCAAAAAAAGTGTTCCTTCGCAGGGTGATCCAAGATGCTCATCGATGGTCCTCGCCGAGA